TTTGAAAAAAAAGGAAAAACATTTATTCGACTTTAAAGTTGCATCCACATTAATAATACAAATTCAGGGACATTTACATGCCATCCAATTTCAAATATAACACATAAAATTTATTATTTATTATTAATAAAATTTGCGTGAAAGGGGGTTTGCATTATTATACTCATGATTATAAATAAATTTATAATTCATTAGGAATTCAATCATATAGCTCTTTCTATTGGCTTTTATATGCTACTTCCTCCTTACTCAATCCCCAAATCAATCATAATGCCTTCCTATATAAAATATGCACACTCTCTTCCTTCATCAGAGCAAATCTTTCACGCTTCGCCAACATCATTTTTTGTGCCATTAAATATTTATTTTTTATGATGATAAGCTATATTCTAATGATGATATTTTAAATTTTGAGTGCTACGCATGTAAATATATATATAAGAATTGCGATGGATTTATTTTATTTAAATTTATTTTGAAAAAAACACTTCAAGACCTGAACCATGTCCAAGCTTGAACTAAAAATAAAGGGAAAGAAATCTTCTTATACGCTACGGGAAACGGATAAGCTACGAAGGCCCCACAGTGCATGTTACCTGGTTTTTCAGTGCTTTGGCTGATCCTGTTAGATAAAGCGTTTCGAACATGACACAGGCGTTTTAGCCAATAAAAATATTTTTCTCTGTGGGTCAAGTTCTTACGGCTGACCAGCGACGTTTCATTGGAAGAAAACACTGTAGTATGTTCTATAACTTTTAAGGAAGGTGTGAATTTAATATAATTGTTTCTTCGACCAATAGACTACGAATCTTTTTAAGTTTAATTATTTGTTAAGAAATTATTTTTGAGAAGGGAAATATTGTTGGAAAATGAATGGAACCCATGATTGGCTAACAAGAACAAAGCCATGTGCACATTAAGATCTCTAAAATAATTAGGTTAAAAGCATCTATACTTTAGATTTTTATTAAAATGAATTTGATTCTTTTTATTTACAACTTTTAAATTAATTAAATAAGTTGTTTAAATTAATTTGCTCGTTCAATAACTTAATATTTATTAAATATTTTTAATTAATTAATCAAATGAAATAATCGCAAGCAAACAATAATATTGATAGCTCTATTTATTTGAAATATTACTTCTCCATGGTGCTGTAGCTTAATCGAGCCGGCCCGTGAGCTGGCTTTGCTCTATGAGCAAACGAATGCAGTAGCTCAACTCAACCCTCGACTCGATTGAACTTAATATCACTTGAGCGGGATTGTTTTAAAATATGTTAATCTAAAGTATACACAAAATATAATAAAATTTAAGATTTTATCTTTAAATTATTAAAAATGTTTCAAAAATAATATTCTCAATTTTATGTTAGTTGTTTTTTTTTATTATTTATCCCATGATTGGTTTTTATATTTGTCATTTTATTATAATACTTGTTAAATTAGTATTATTTTCTCTCTTTCATCATAAGTAAAACAGTTGGTGAGCCAGCTCGGAGTTGTAGAATCAAGCTCGAGCTTGAGCTCAAACCTTATTAATTAATCAAACAGAAGTTTAAATCATTGTTAACTCCAGCTTTGGGGCGGAACTGATTTATTTTTTAGGGTGGGCACTAAATGTCTTTTCTTAAGTATTGGATGAAAAATAAATATTTAGAAGGGAGGAAGCAAAATTACTAAATTGCTGCAACCACATAAGAAAAAAAAATTAAAATTTATCATTTATATAGAAAAATATCAAATTACAACGGATAATTGTTTATTCTTATCCATGACAATTTATGTGTCAGTGAAGATTTGAAGGAGATCTGACAATCCATATGAAAAAGTACAATGAAGGATGACGACCAACAAAAGATTATGAGTTTTGCTTGTCCGACTGAGTGGAGTTGTCAAATCTAAAGCCAGCAAAGCCAAAGTTGATCGAGCCATGAAAGACAACTAGAGAACTCCAAAACGAGCCACCTAGGTAGAAATAAGACAAAAGAGTATTCGAATCTCAACATCTTAAATCATATCGGGGATGCCTGGAGGATCCCGATTAGAAGTCAAGAATCAACAATCAGACAATATCAACGGACTGACCCATATCGCAAGAAATCAAGCAAAGTCTAGCAAATCAAACTGATGTTGCCAACTCGAAACCAAATAAACTCAAATGACTGAGACAGAGAGCGACTCGACCAATAGATCAGCTCAATCTTGTAAAATATCAAAAAAAAAACACTCTGCAATCCTCTTAAAAAATAGGGGTAAATAATAACATCATCATGTTATAAACTCTACTCTATAATTAGAGAAATTTTTTTATGAATAAATGAGGGAAACACTGATATAATATTTTAATATTTATTAGTATTCACTAGTCTCACTATCTCTCTGTCCACATATGTTTTATATCTCGAGTGCCATTCTCCCGCTGCCTAAGATTGACTCTGACTCAGTTGGTATAGTGGCGATAAGTCGGGTGAGTCGGGTCTGTCGGTACCGAATAAGGAAAGGGGAACGATGCGGGTCAGATTTAAACCAAGCGATATTTCAATAGGCATCCATGCACCCAAAAAGAAATATATGATGCGGATCCCGTCCAAACCACAAAACAGGAAATTTGGTCCGCAATTTACGGAAACATGTGGGGCCACCTAACATGGAAGTTTTCTTTTTATGCCCTCATGTACCTTCAAAGTCAACAAATTTAAAACATCAACACTGCATATTACATATATGAATTTTTTTTATTTCGATTTCACACACACATTTTTTTTTTAAGAATGGGTTGGGCCCTGAAATCCCTAACCCACTCTATTGGCTCAACCCGATTAGGTCTGGGGTGACCCATGCCCGAGTACCCCCTCCTTAAGATAATAATAGCTAGAGAGGATTTGAAACCTATACGAGAGGAGTCTTACACCGCTGAAACAAATGCTTCACCAACTGACCTGAAAACGCGCCGCGCGTGCGCCCCCCCACACACCCACACACACACACACACACACACATTTATAACGTTTTATTCCGATTTATCTACATATCTAACACATAATTTCTCATGTATGATTTCTTATATTTTAATTTATATGCACATAATCCTAATTCTTAATAAACATAGAAATGACCATGTTGTCATAGCTACAAGGATATTGAAGCTCATTCATAGATGCATATCATGATAGAAATATTCGAATAAATAAATTATATCATAAAAAATATATATATAACTATTACTAACTTTTTGATAGCAAAACACACCTGTTATGGTATGGCTCATATACCATTATAAATGTGAATATCAATTTTAGTTTATATATGTGAATACATGTGAATTATTTGGAAAGCATGAAAATATCCTTCTTATTTCTTTTTTAATTTTTTGGGTTTAATTTATTTCTCAAAAGTTGAAGAAGGTCAATAAGTAATTTTAATTTATCCAATCACAACAAAAAAATTGAAAAGGAAGAATTATAACAAGAAGAAAGAAAGAATTGGAGAAAGAAGTGTCATTTATTCATCCATTTTATTAATTCCACTCAAACAACTGTATTTAAAGAATATAGCAGTAATTACTTCATTCCTAAACCTCTAATTAAAAAAGTACCTGTATTAACCTAAAAACTAATCATTGCATGTCATCATTTTCATGCGATCCTAACAAGAGATGTTATAGTTAGCGTCTGATATATGCGTCAGATTTCTCTAACGCAAATGTTAACGTCAGATTTTGTAGTCGTTCTGCAGCGAGTAATATTTGCGTTCGATTTTGTGTCCAATTTTAGTCTAAAAAATAGATGGAGAAAGCACAATGAAAATGGTGAGAGAGTGTTTAGAAGGAATTACCATCGAATTTACGTCTAACTAAGCAACAAAAAACTTTATTTATTGGCGTCGATATAAGTACGAAGCAAATACGACGGATTTCTGACGCAAATGACCTAATTTTTTCTCAATGCTCTCCCTTCTTCCCTTTTGCTTGAAACCCTCGCTCTCCCCTCACAATTTCTCTCTCCATTTTCCTCAGCATTCTGAATACCCCTTCGCGATATAGTCGCCACTAGAACTAGCTGGAAAGATAAACAAATACTATAAAAAATACTGTATTTCTCATCCTTCCGCTCCACTCCACTTCGATTAGAAAAATTTAGGAATGTAGTTCTTTTGAACAATTTTTTTCGACTCAATTTTGGATTAATTATGGGTTGTAAGTTCTATTTCAAATTAGTTTTGGGTTAGCAAGTCTTATACAGGGTTGGCGGGTCAATCTGAATCCTGGTATAAAAAATTAAATCAAATCAAAACCTTATTTTCTAGTGTGGAGTCGGATTAATTTCTTACAACCCTAAATGATGAGAAAATTTTACTTGGACGGAGGTAATATTTTTTTCCCTAAATTACAGCCTAGTGACGGACCATAGGTCCATAGCACCTCTATGAAACCCTCGCCTCCCATTAATCGTTTCCAATTCTAGCCCTAGCAAAAGTAATATGGATCATCAATTCATGTCGTTATTTATTGCCTCCTCATACACCGCCACCGTCCGATCATTGAGCAACCTTTGCTCCCGTAACAAACTCTCAGATCCCTGCCGTTAAATGCGACGCCGCCGTGTCTCAGCAACGGAAAACTACTAATTACGGTAAAGCTGCCCAGAGAGCGTTACTTTTTTCGTTTATCTTTATTTTAAAACTTTTCACATTTTTCGGAATTTCGAAAAAAAAATAAATAAATAAATAAATATATATATAAGGAAATAAATATATATATATATATATATTTATATATATTTATATACATATTTTTTGTGGAAAATTAATAAGAATACATTTCTCCTTCTTTTCGTCCCCGCGCACTTTCGCGCTCAATAAATAGCCATCTTCCTCCCACTTTCCCCTCACCCTTTTTCTCCCCAACAGCTTTACTTCAGTAATGCGCCTCTTTTCGCTGCTGCGATCTCTGTAGCCTGTCTGCTCTCATCTGTACTACCTTCAGAAGGGCGCATTCCGGGGGTCTACACTGGCGGTTCATGGCAAAGCGCGCACGCCACTTTCTACGGCGGAAGCGACGCCTCCGGCACAATGGGTTTGTCCTTATCGTTCATAATTTATTATTAATTAACACCACTCAATCTTTGAATCAAGCCAGTAGATGTTACTTTCGGAATCGTTTGTGGTAGGTGGGGCTTGCGGATACGGGAATCTATATAGCCAGGGATACGGCGTGGAGACGGCGGCGCTGAGCACGGCGCTATTCAACGCGGGGTTGAGCTGCGGTGCGTGCTTTGAGTTAAAGTGTACCGAAGATCCCCAGTGGTGCGTAACTGGGAACCCTTCGATCTTCATCACCGCGACTAATTTCTGCCCTCCGAACTTCGCTCAACCGTCTGATAATGGTGGATGGTGCAATCCACCTCGCCCTCATTTCGATCTTGCGATGCCGATGTTTCTGAAAATAGCGCATTACCGTGCCGGCATCGTTCCAGTCTCCTATCGCCGGTGAGTTAATTTGACATCCCCTAGTTTCCATTTCCTTTACCTCTTTTACTGTTTTTTTTTTCCTTATATTAAAGCATCGGCGACGCCCCACGCTGACTCCCTGCCGGTCGTTTTCTGTCTTTCCGAAATTCCTTTCCCGTCACCATTTGCATGAGTTAATGACTATTTTGTCCTTTGATTTGCTCAACTATCCTTCATTTCTCTTAAGATTGATTGAGCTAACCTACTTTTTTTTTCTTTCTTAATCTCCGCTCATTTTAAAATGTATCTTAGATCCCATTGTAGCTTGCCGGACATACCTGAACCGATCGATCAACAGATAACTTAGCAGATTGTGTGGAGCTGATCTGATTAATTAAATCTGAAGCAGTTTGTATTGTGGGGTTGAATTGATTTTCGAGCCCGATCTTTTAGAATGGCGATATTTTTATTTAGAAATATTGTAAATTAATAACGGCAGTTTGTTTTGGAAAATTAATTTATGATATCACGAAAATCGATTCGCCGAACCACATCAAATCAAGTATCACGTGACGGTTCGTTAAATCACGTAATTACCCTTGCATTTTTTAAACGAGGACAAGGGTGCTAATGGTATTTACACAATGGATATCGCGTGAGAGTGGGTTCGGCCATGCGCCGACCCGACAGCTGCACATGGGTTATTGGTGTGGCAACGTGGCGGGTCCCATGGCATCCAATGATCGCATGAAGATGAAAATAAATTTTTTGCGCTATTTATTTATTAACAAATTTTGTGATTAGTGAGTGGTATTATATTCTAATTATTCATTTATTTACTAATTATTTCAAGTATCGTTGCATGTTAGCTGCGGCGGGTCCTACGATGGGGCTGTATATGATAAAAAAATCCCATTTAACATCTTTTTTTCTTTTATTATTGGGCTTTAGTTTAGTCTAAATAGTAATATATTTGATATTCATAAAATTTTTTTTTTTTGCATATTATTCAATATAACTAAATTTCTGTATTTTAGTTAAAATTAACATAATGTACAAAATATTTAGTGAGGTATTTGTTTTGTGAATTTAATTGGCTGCCTGCTCGCTTCTTATCAGTGTTTTATTTTTATTTAATTATATATAGTAGGCTTTTACATTTAAAGACAAAATCCTAACTATTTCGGAGTAAAAATGAAAATAAAAATAAAAATGCAATTGCAGAGTGCCGTGCAAAAAGAGTGGGGGAATCCGTTTCACCATCAACGGCTTCCGTTACTTCAACCTGGTTCTGATCTCCAATGTCGCCGGCGCCGGCGATATTGTGAAGGTGAGCGTAAAGGGATCTCGCACAGGGTGGATGACGATGTCGCGAAACTGGGGACAGAACTGGCAGTCTAATGCCGATCTGGTGGGCCAATCTCTCTCTTTCCGCGTCACCGGCAGCGATCACCGGACCTCCACCTCCTGGAACGTTGTTCCGGCGCACTGGCAGTTTGGTCAGACCTTCTCCGGCAAAAATTTTCGCGTTTGATTAAATGGTAATGCTTGGTAGATTTTAGGGGCCGATTTTTAGGCCTTGTTTGGTGTTTGGGTGCGCGCTTTTGTGTGGTATTGAGCAAGCATTATGGAAAAGTGTGAAACAGCTTCTTAGTTGCTGAAGCGGCTGCAAAAAGAATGTAGCCCGCAGCCTCTCTCATTAATCTCTAGTGATCATATTTTTATATAATTGTTATATAATCAGTTATGCTTTGCTAGATTATGGTTAAAAGTGCCTCATTTCATTATTTATATTTAACGATATACGTTTAATAAATGATACTTGTATAATTTACTGCTGAGGCAGCAAACGCAATTGCAGCTGACGCGGCCTCAAATCTCTTTTAAGGTTTTATGAAAGTTGGCTGCTCAATTTCTCTCCCAAGTTCTCTTAAACGCAAAAAACAGTCGAAATCATTATACTCTCATGACAACTTTGGCAACTCTTTTTAACCGACAATTACAGTTGTTGCCCGCAGCCATTGGGCTTGTTTATTGCGTAACAGCTTTCGAAGCATAGTTAAACAGGTTTTTTAAATGGGCCGTGCCAGCTCTTCTACTACATAGCTAAAACTGCCATCGCACATAAAACTATTTACCAGACATTCAATAATCAGAGAACAGATAACGAAACTCTGCATTATAAGGCCTAATTTCTACCAATTTTGACGCACAAATTCTAGTATTGGAACTCAGCCATTGCATCATTAATGTTTTGAGGGGCCTGGATCTGGGCAGCTGGCTATATATCCATTCTATAAGCGATTCGATATCGTCCGCAAAATCAAGCATGTGCCATTCCAGAAGCTTCGGGATCACCATCTTCTTCTTGCTCGTAATGCAGATGGAAGCTTCTAGAAATTCTATTTTGGCTCTCTCTAGCTCATTTACCACATTCTCTGCAGTGTACACTCTCAGCTGCATTTCCATTAAAATAAAACATAGCCCATTATTTTTAGAACTATAATATATATATATTTATATATTATTTAGCAAGTAGTTGGTGGCGTATGTTGGGACTACATTTCCTCCTATTTTTAGAACTATAATATATATATATATATGTATATTTATATATTATTTAGCAAATAGTTGGTGGCGTATGTTGGGACTACATTTCCTCCTAAACTGAAAAGTCCGATGCTCAAAGCTCAAAAATAAGAATTTAGGGCCAGTTTAGTATCACACTTAATTGTTTGTGGCGTTTACATACATACCACCTAATTCTTATGTATTTACATATTTATCATCTAAATATGTAAGTACATGGAAATTATACAGCATGCATGTCAATCTTCCCTTTTTTTGGTAGAGAGAGAGAGAGAGAGTAATAATAGTAGAGAGAACAGAGAAACAAGTTACCGCAGGTGAAGAGAAGCTGCCTCTACAGAGTGCGAAAGTGATGTTGGGTTGTGGGTAACCGAGTCCATAGGTGCGTCTGAGATGCGCCTCTTTTTCATCCACAATTCCCTTTTATTAACCAAAAATTAAAATGTTAAAATATAAAACATAAAGATAGATAAAAATGAAATGAAAAGTCAAATGTATAATGTGATGGTTGACTCACATTTTTAATATGAGAAGAGTGCCGAAGAATGAAATGCTCAATAGCCAGGGCATTAAGCACTATGCCACCAACATTGAATGCAGCCTATATGAGATAGAGGAGTGAATATTTAATCTAATAAAAAATATTGGGGAGGATGATGATGATAAAAAATAAAGCCAGCAACTTACCTTGTTCAATAGTTCAAGTAGTTTGTCAGATGATGTTGGAAAACCATGTTGAAGAAATGCCTAAATATTAAATTAAATAAAATATAGTTTATATATATATATATATATATACAAGTCTCTCTTCCACATACATACAATCAATCTTAATAAGATAGCTTACCATACATTCATTATACTGGCATTGTATATATTGATCCAGAATGCTAGCCTTTGTTTATAACTTAAAAGTTGCAAATCCACCACTGAAAGCTTTTGTATTAACGCCCTGAAATTCCATAAATTAAGTCTTTCACGTATATTTACATATCTAACACCCAATCTTTCTCATATTTACATGAATAAGCATATTTGCATACATTTATCACTCATTACATAAAAAAATATCATTATCTTGATCTTTTTAAAACTACACCTTCTCATTCAATGATTTAAGACATCAAGGTGTTATAAGTGCAAATGCACGAGAATTGCATGGTAAGTATATGTAAATTTCCCTTTTTTTTATTTTAAAAAAAAATTACCTTAGTTTTTCAATGGCTGGAAGACACAAGACGATGCGATTGAGATTTAAAGTGCCTCTGGTGAGGTGTAGGAATTTCTTATATGGTCCTATATCACCTTCTGATAGAATACAGTATGGATCTTGTATTTGTGTGCCTATAAAGGTCGCAGAATCTCTGCTATTAGATGGTCTTATGCAGGAGATGTTCAGCTTTGTAGCCGTGGAGGCTTCACTTTCTATATGAATTTGCGGCACAACCAGTTTCTTGAAAATGCTAACCATTATTTTGATTAGCTGCTCTGATAGCTTGTTTTCTTCTCCTCTGTAAGTTTCTTCGCTTATCAATCGTTGGATTCTGTGCTGTTGTTTCGAGTTTTCTGTCTTTTGATCAGCTTCATTTTCTGTAGAAATAGGAGACAGAAGACCTGATCAGTTTTTTAGCGTGAATCTCAATAGATTATTTGTGTAAAAGCGCAACACTATGCTAACCAGAAGACTTTCTATAATGCAAACTTTTTGCTTCTGCGGCCAACTCCAGAGAAGTTTTCCTTTCAGTACCGACTGGAATTTGATCAATTGTTTTCATATTTGTTGAAGATTCAGTGAATCCATGGCTTCCTAATTCGCTTACATGGTGTGTTTGCAGCTTCTGTTCCCACTGCAGTAAAAATTCTTTCTTGTTTTTCCTTTCTTGATGGAGAGTTTGCTTCGTTTCTTCTACTTTTTTCTGTAAATAGATGACTTCTTCTTCTACCTTCGCTATCTCTGCAACGAGAATTTGTACCAGCACAAACGATTTTATTATATAATAAAATGTGTTTCTATTATGATCAATAATGGCTGATCTGTTTGTAATAAAGAGAATACCTGAAGAGAAACCGAAGAAGAAGAAGAGGAAAGACATGAATGACACACAAATGACCCGTGAAGTGCACGATGGAGAACTGCATTCAATTTCTGTTCATTCTCAAGAATTTCTTGCAGCTGAGCCACCTATAAATTAAAAGAAATGAAAGAAAATCTTAAAGAAAACTAAATCTTCGTTGTTTGATGTGAAACGTATTGTTGTTTCTGTCACCTCAGCTTCGAGCTGGAGTTTCTTCTGATTGCGCTCTTCTTCCTTCAGCATCAGCAGTTCCTCAAATTTCATTACAGTGAAGGAGAGGTCAGAATTTAACAACTGCTGTAACAAAATGAAGAGAGGTGGCTTAATTCATGAGTTTTGACGGTGCTGATGAACTAAAATGCAGCGGCGGTGGATTGATGACGAACTGCAAGTTGGAAATTTTCTTTCTTTCTTTTTTTTTTTTTTTAGTTTAATTTTCCGTGCTTGCATTCATGTTTGTGGGTAGGTTTTCTTTAACCTGCAATCCGTGACTGTTTTAATAACTGAAGCTGACAGGTTTTGACTTGGTGGTGGGATCAGTTGAAAATTTTCACATGATTCGAATTTACACTTTTATTTATTTATTTTTATTTTTTTGCTTTTTATTTGGAGTTGGGATTGTTTGAAAATTTTCATAATTCGATTTTACAGTTCCTAGTTATTTAGCTTGAATGAAATTGCAAACATTGGGTTTAGAAAAATATGTTTTGAAGATTTACAAACACATAACATTTTGAACTTTACACGTCACATTACCTATGCATTAAAAATATATATATTTCACTTTTAAAAATTAAAATTAGGTGTTAGATGTGCAATTACAAATGAATTGGGTGGCATGCCCCCTTTCTCCCAACATGCTATGTATGAAATGTGAAGTATTTAATTATCTTGTGACCATTGAGCTTTTGGTTGAATAATGGTTTAATCAACACAATATATTTATCCACTTATGATTTAGCAACACGTCAATTTTTTTTATTTAAAAATGTTAAATGACTAAATACAAATTTCAACATATAAGTAACATGTTTAAAGCAAATCCATTTATATTAGCTATTATGAGAACCTTCAATGAAGTAGCTGATCACTTGAGCTCCAGCAATACATGAAACATCGTTTATAAACTCTAAATTATAAATATAAGGGAATGGTCGAAGGCTATGATACGAGCCTCGACTATCTCTCATGCGTCTATAATTCAAATACCACACCTTACACTCCGGGGAATTGAACCCCATACCAGATGAGACATATAGCTCACAATCAAATGCCCGACCAATTGATCGAGTACGAGGATGACAGGTTTTGACTTGGTGGTGGGATTAGTTGAAAATTTTCACATGATTCGAATTTACAGTTTTATTTATTTATTTATTTATTTTTATTTTTTTGCTTTTGATTTGGAGTTTGGGATTGTTTGAAAATTTTCATAATTCGATTTTACAGTTCCTAGTTATTTAGCTTGAATGAAATTGCAAACATTGGGTTTAGAAAAATATGTTTTGAAGATTTACAAACACATAACATTTTGAACTTTACACGTCACATTACCTATGCATTAAAAATATATATATATTTCACTTTTAAAAATTAGGTGTTAGATGTGCAATTACAAATGAATTGGGTGGCATGCCCCCTTTCTCCCAACATGCTATGTATGAAATGTGAAGTATTTAATTATCTTGTGACCATTGAGCTTTTGGTTGAATAATGGTTTAATCAACACAATATATTTATCCACTTATGATTTAGCAACACGTCAATTTTTTTTATTTAAAAATGTTAAATGACTAAATACAAATTTCAACATATAAGTAACATGTTTAAAGCAAATCCATTTATATTAGCTATTATGAGAACCTTCAATGAAGTAGCTGATCACTTGAGCTCCAGCAATACATGAAACATCGTTTATAAACTCTAAATTATAAATATAAGGGAATGGTCGAAGGCTATGATACGAGCCCCGACTATCTCTCATGCGTCTATAATTCGAATACCACACCTTACACTCGGGGGCATTGAACCCCATACCAGATGAGACATATAGCTGACAATCAAATGCCCGACCAATTGATCGAGTACGAGGAGCATATATATATATATATATGGAAATAAAATTTAAACACGCGTTTGATGCAGTTCAGCTTGATTGGCCAATATAAAATAATAAGTATAAAGATATTACAACCTTGTTGTTAGGCATTATTTGCAGTCTTGTGGGCTGCATCATTATGAAGCACTCAAAATAGAAAATAAACAAGCATCAAAATAACAAAACTTTAAGATAGTTTCAGATGAAATTATATTTTGCCTCCACAACATCGGGGAATAGTGAATAGCCAGAAATCACCTAGCTTGACTTCACTGTGGCAGAGTTGATGATGTCCAGAAATTCAGGCTGTGCAATCAAAATAGAGGAAATAAAACATTAAAACTAAGGTTGACATCAAAACTATATTAAAGAATAGTTTCTGTAAAATTGATGAAATTTCAATCAAGTTAGAAATTGCATGAAAACATGATGTGGAAATTGGAATGCTGCATACAGTTAGAAGTGATTTACAAAAAAGGGCATTTACATACACACGATCCAATTTTAAAAGATTTAGCACCTTCATCTTTTAATCTTCATGTTATTTACCAAATCCTAGTCGAGTTAAATCCAATTTGTAACCAAACAGCCCCTTAGTGTGTAATTTCAGCATCACAACTTAAAATCTCTGATATGTAACAAAACCAATGAACAAGATGAAGATTCACAAATAACGGTCCAATTAGAATAACATTTATTGAAGATAAAAATAATAAACAATAGGCTTATTTATTCAGCAGATTCAATCAAAGATGAGAGATCAGGAATAAAAATAGATCAAAGCGAAGAAATTTGAAAAGCTATTTATTATTCAGAAAGTTTATTAAAAAATTAACACTTCAACACTACTCGTTAAGGCAAATGAAAATTAATAAAACTGATGCTAAATTGTTGGTATAGGGCTAATGATAATAATGATAGCCTGGCAAAAGCTAAATGTGCCCCCTTATTTATTACTAATATTTTTGAGGCATTTATAAACATTCCACAAATCTTATATATTTACAGATCCCACGCCTATTCCTTCATATATATAGATAGAACGCACAAATCTTTGACATCAAATCACAACAAATACTAACTTTTTAAAAGTGAAATACCCATTTTCATGTATAGGTTTTTAATAACAAGGGCCTATAAATGTAGATATCAAACTTTAGGTATTAGACATGTAGATGCATAAGAGTTATGTGTTAAGTAAGTTTCCACATTTTATTGGCATATGTTGGAAACCTAGACCTCAAGTTTAGAAATATAGGATTCAGTAGGTGTTAACTTAGTGGTTGAAATAGGTAATAATAAAAAAAATTTGTGGGTGAATTAAATATATTAATGTGGATCAGAAGGTAAACCTTCAAAGATGCGCCACCAACAAGGAAGCCATCAACATCGGGCTGTCCAGCCAATTCCTTGGAGTTCGCCCCATTTACAGAACCTGCAAGAAGAGATTGGAAGCAAAAGCAATTATTTCAATGATTATAGGCGCATTTACAAACCTATCACACAATTCTAATGCATTAACATAGCTCACACCTAACTTTCATATTTACAAAAGCACATTCAAATTTTTAATACCACATAAAAATAAGCACAATAACGATTTTCCTAAAGTGAAATAGATTTAAAGCAACAAAGTGTTATGTATGTAAATATGAAATTTTAGGTGATAGATATGTAAATATATAAAAATTGTGTGCTAGGTATGTAAATTTCCCATGATTATAATACAAAGTTTCATGATATAAAAACATGTGCAAGCTTGAACATTATCCGCGACAATGGGTACTAAAGTCCAGCATAGAAGGATTTCTAGAATACTATGAAAAGATTAAAATGAGAGATATTAAGTACCTCCATAAATGATCCTAGTGGATTCAGAAACTTCAGCACTCACGTTTTCCAAAAGCCACTTCCGCAGTTCAAAATGAACCTAATGAATAAAAATAACAGCCGATGAGAAAACACAAGTTGGAAAAAGAATTTAAGAAAATTCCAAAGATACACCAAAGGTGGTGAATGAAGTGCAGGATTTAAATGATCCAATAAATAAACAATTTTGGGCATATGCTTAGGGCTGTAAATCAACCAAGTTCAGTTGATTAGAATCTTGTTCAAGTTCATAATATAATTTACTTTTCAATTTTGGACCAAGCATATATATGGCTCGAGGTTTGAAAATCTCATCCAAATTTGTTTATTAGTTTTTTATTACAGATTTTGAGCTATAATAGAGCTTTAATTAAGAATAATTATATGTTTGATGCTAATAATTTAAACATATAGCCTAATGGCGGAAGCATAAATGTATTTATACATTTTAAGCAAAATTAGCATACATCCTAAATGGTATTATTTAAACTTTTTGGTAAAGTAAATTTAACAAGAAAATTATTAAATTTGCATAGCTATTCATTTGTTATTTTCATCATAGCTATAGCTTAATAAAATAAATTTAAGAATTGATACAAGAACATCGAAAAAGCAATCAAATAAATATTATGTCATCATTAAATGAGCACGTTGTCTAACTTTAGTGCAATACTCAACCAAGTAATATATGAGCATATGCATGAACATAAATAAATATGTGAATCAATGTTCAATCTCATGAGATTTTAAAATTTTGATTGCACTTGTTTAATTATTCAAATAACTGACCATAAACAATCCTCATACAAAAAAGCATCAAGTCATTCTACGTGTGCATCTCTTCACTTACAACTCTCCGTATGCTTCTTCACTTACAACTCTCCGTATGCTTCAATCAAAAAATCATGAACTACCACTTTGGTATCAAACAAAGGAAAATAAAAGGCGACAAATACAGATAAATCGATGTAAGATTTCAGTAGAATTTACCTCTTGGGCCTGAGCTGGGGTTGCAACCTTGCCGGTTCCAATAGCCCAAACTGGCTCATAGGCGATAACTACATTTTTCCAATCAGAAATCCTTTCTGCAAGAAAGCATTCAATTAACAAAACAGCACAGCGAAGCTGCAGTGAGATTATGATTGGATGAAAACTAAAAAATATTATCATTATTTTATTTGAATGAGAAAAGGAAAGATGAAAAGTAAATACTAAAATAAAGCAGATGGCTCATTGAAGCAAATCATCTATCATGGTTATGTAGCAGTTATTGTCTGCATCCAAATGTAAAATAAGAATATTCCCAATATCACGCCCTGCTAGGGGTGTAAACGAGCCGAGCACGAGCTGTGTTCGGCTCGTTTATATTTCGAGCTCAAAAAGTGTGTTCGTGTTCGACTCGTTTGCTTAACGAGCCGAACACGAGCTGTTCACGAACAAAGAGTCCTTTTAACAACCCTAATCATGTAGTCATAAAACAATAAGGGATTGAACAAGGTTTAAAAAATTGTTATTTATATTAAAACAACATTTGAATCTAATTTAATAATTTTTATTCTATTTTCTTAATCAATATTTTAATTGGTTATAAATCTTTGTAGCCTTGTAGTCAATTATATTTTCTTAAAATACTACTTAATATATAAACTTGACGAGTAGTATTTCGAGCCAAAATGAGCTAAACACGAACGAACACATATTAGTTCGTGTTTGGCTCATTAACTTATCGAACGAAATTAACGAGCCGAACACGAGTTGTTAACGAGTCGAACACGAGCTGTTCACGAACAACGAGCCGTTTTGACAGCCCTACGACCTGCATATATCATGGATGATTTAGTTATCACCTACTAAATTGTCTATTGAAATATATTGAGTATTTATGGTAACACAATCATCTTAATATTGACTCTTGGTGGGCCTACGACTTATTATTATGTTTAAATTCCAAAAGTTCACTATATGATTGCCATGAATTCTAACTCACACTAAACTGAAATCAATTTGCTTTAACACTAGGATTAAAATCAAAATCAAGTTGCTTTGATTAGGGGATTAATCTCTAGTGAGAAGCTTGATTTAACCTTAATTTCACTTGATATATTTAAATATACATCTTCATACATCTAAACCCACTCACACTCACACTCATGCATGGGCACATATCATTCATATATACAAATATAAAACTTTATAAAAAAAATAATAAATACAAATGCTTGCATATATAGATTACATATATATATATATATATATAATATATATATTGGTTGGCATACCTGGTGGGAAGACCTCTCAGGTGGGAGGTTTGAATCCCCTATTGGCAACGTAAGCCTTAAGAAGGATGATACTCGAATTGTTATGCACATTAGAAGTGGTTGGAGGCTCGTATAATAGCCTCTTTTGATATTTTCAATAGTAAAAAAATTCTATTTTCAATCATTTCAAGTAAAAACTTAAATTTCGATTAAATAAATTGTTTTACTCCACCACAAAATTTTAATTTTGAGTAGATCATGCCCCACTCAAACCCAACTCAATATCACCAAAAGTGGGACATGCATGAGACGTGAGTTCTAACAAATCATTATCATCATGAAATATCACACTCAAGCTTCCTAAATTATTTTGGCATGGGTCAGTTGGCATATTATCTAAAACACTACTGAAGCATTATCAAAGTGCCCAAATGGCACTTAGTTTCATAGTTCTCTAAATCTCTTCCTTTTTATCCACTACAATTACTAAATGGGTTAAACATACAGCACAAAACTCGTAAAATATTGTCCTTTATGTTGCATGTGTCACTAGGCCCTAAATGTAGGGACATAGATGCAAATTTTTCTTCTTGATATGAAATCTCTATCATGTGTTAATTATATATCAGTGGCCCATTAAAATTCATAGTAGGAGGTCAAAATGAAGATTGTTTGATAAAATATATAAGTACAAAAGTAAATCCAAAACATGATAACAAGAAGGTAGATCTAGCAAGCATCTCCAAAAATCATTCTCCTCAATTTCATCTCCTGAAATATTCCTGTATCTTTCGCAACAGATGCAAAAAAAATATGATGCGAGGGCAACACCAACAAGAGATTATTGTGGATAAGAAACTGTAATAAACTACTTTCATGACACACCCAAGCAAGCGTACTCAAGAATATGTTGGGGTGCAACTAGGACAGTAAACGAGCCGAGCTTGAGCGAGCATGGGCTTGGCTCATGTTCGGCTCGTTTGAAATTTCTCATGTTCGAAATAAGCTTGTACTTGAAATCGGATCGTGTCCGAAATTGGTGCGTGTTCAGTTCGATTTAAATATTCTAGATTGTGCCCGACTCAAAATTGGCTCATTAAAATTAATTAGAAAAAATAGAAGTAGGGTGTTAGATTCAAAATTGCACCCACTCTGTGCAATACAAGACGCAAAACCATTTGACAACATGAGCCGTTACGATTTAAAATTATCTATATATATATATATATATATATATTATATATATATAAATAATATATATATAATATTATATTATATAAATAACATATATAATTTATTTATTTCAAGCTAAAATGAGCCAAACACGAGTGAACAAAGAGTTGTTCTTGTTCGGCCTGTTTATAATTAGAGCTTCAAAAATTTGTTCATGTTCGGCTCGTTGACTAATGAATGAGCCGAACAAGAGTTGTTTGTGAACAACGAGCTTTTTTGACAGCCCTAGATGCAACAAAGTATATGACGCTACCACTACCCCAAACAAGGCCTTAACAATGACAAAACTGCAAATGAACAAAGGCATTACGATCTTATAAAAAAAATTTTAAGAAAAAAATCTGAGTAAAAATTTGCTTAAACCATTAATATACATTATTATGAGAAATTTTGTGTAAGACTTCCATCGACAACTGTAAGTGATTCTGCCCCAAAACTAGGTGTTGTAAGGGTCCACTGCAGCTATTATACTGTTAACTATACTCATATTTCTGCAAATTGGATTCAGATGCAATTAGACCCTCTATGTACGGGCATTTATGAGACTTATTCTTTCTTAACATAAAATCTGTACCATTTATAACAGTGATCCATTAATTTTCCCATGAATAATAGTTGGGGGTGAAAATGATTGATGTTTGATAACACATATAATAGTAACTAAATCGAAAACATGAAAATAAGACTAGTAAATCTAGCAAAGCATTTTTGACAATCATTTTCCTTGGGCTTCATCTTCCGTGACATTCCTAGGCACATCGCAACAGGTGCTATAAAGACAAGCGAAAGCTACACCAAACTAGAGATTATTGCTGCCAACGAGATTACCACAATGCAAAAAATGCACTTAAAAATGATAATATTGCAAATAAAAAAAGACATTGTGATCCTACTGAGGTATGTTTTGCAAAAAAAAATCCTAGTAAAAATCTGATTTAAACAATGGTTGCCAACAAGATGAAAAAGTTTAAGATATAGATTAATAAAGACATCAAAAGACAATGAATGTAAAGAAGGCACAAAGTAGATATGCATTCACCTGCAATAGCCTTTGTCTGTGCAGCAACAACATCCACAGTTGAACCTGATTCTCGTTGCTCGAGGGTCTCACCAACACAAGCAATCACTTTCAAACCTTGAGAAAGTGCATATGCAACTTTATCTCCCACGAACTACAACAAATTGAAATAAAAAAAAGATCTAAACAAGCTGCAACGATTATAGAACAAATTGAACTCACAATCATCATACACATTAACTATTTTACTCAGAAGAGAATTCTGCTAACCCAAATTAAGTGTATCAGATACATATATGCAATAAACAATAATGTGGAACATCTGAGATGTGAAAATGTGAAAAAAATTGAAGGAACAAACCTCATTGGATTCACCAAGTAAAGACCTCCTTTCAGAATGGCCAACAATTACCCAGGGAATGCCTAGATTCACAAGAATCTCAGCACTGCATGAAAAAAGTTTCCAAGAAAAAAAGGACAAGTCATCTCACAATTTTAAGCACGTTGACTGTAAGGATTAATTAAATAAGAGATAGATTGATAAACTGAAGGTGTCATTTTGTTTGCTGTCCTGGCGACCCCAACACAAAGTGGCAACAACAAGTACCGCAATACAACAATAAATAATTCTCTCTGATAGATTATGACAAGTGATTTAAGTTAGGAAGATTTTCAGCGTCTCCTCGTCTTTCTTGAACTAAATGTAACCCAAGTCTTACAATGCTACAATGCTACAAGAACAGATGATAAAACAAGCACTCAATCCCAACAACACTGAATTACAATATAGTACAACCGACAAAAAATGCATAAGAAAATCACCAGCAACTCCAAAGAGAAGGCTATTGTTGAATTTATGTTGTAGCACCAAAATGACACAAGGAAACATGGAGCACAACAAATCTTGCAGCCCAGTAACTAGCAGCACCAAAGGCCAAAATAGCAAAGTCCAAGGGACTGAATTCATCCAGTAGTTATAACCTTACAATGAATTGATCCAAACCAAAGAATCTACCACATACTGAAACAGGGAGCTAGAACACCTGAACTAGGGAATCCAAGAGCTAAGTTGAAACAATTTTAAGGGTCAATAGAATCTGATGAGATAATCAATATAATATTGAGCACACCTCGTTGTCATAGGAATCAACATCATAAACAACCTACAACAAAATAACTAGAAAACATAAATGAAAACAACTAAATATAATCAATGAATATGATTTACATAACGAAACCGCATTGATTTCAGATTTGCTTCAGGATTTAACCATAAATGAGTAGACTACAAATTGCAGAAAATAACTTCCATAAGCAAAAATAACATTGCACGCAATACTCAAAATAACAAAAATTCATAGGCTTGCCTACATATAGTTACGATAAGGCTAACGACAATGACCATAAATTTTAAATTAAATATACATCATGAAGTTTATAGTTACGTTCAATTTGAATTTTAAGTGGTCAAATACAAAGCAGAAAAGCCGAATTTGACGTCCCAACAATAGTGAATTACAATATTGAGCAATACCGATGATGTCCACATAGAACTGCTAAAAACAGGAAACACTTGGGTGGCAATGCTTCAGATTTCCAGATTTCAGTAAATAGTTGAGAAATATTTTCTTGAGATCCATCACACATGTAAATGGAGAAGTTTCATCCAGCTGTTCCACCCTTTCAACCAGGATTATCCCCTTCCTCAGCCACTCCACCTCACACAAACACAAAAGGAGGAAACACGGAATGTTGATGCCATAGTGCATGCACAACCTATTAGTAGAATCTTTTAAATATCCACGAAATAACTCCCATGTTTTTGTAGTTTTAAAAAAATAAAAATGGAAATTCTGGAAATTCTCACTCAAGTTGTTTTGCAACCTGAGAAAAGATAAAACTGAAAAAACAAAAAAATCCTTGAAGATGGCCATCTGAAAACATGTACCAACAATAATCATGATTGCAAATTGACAAAGGAATATTTATATAACAATGTGAAGATTTAGGATACCCGATCTCACCTGATCTCACCAGTGTATGCCCCTCCTTTCTTTACCCAGACATTTTGAGCAGCAACTTGAAAATCAGGACGCAGCAAACTTTGCACAAGTGGGAGAAACACAAAAGGGGGACTTACGACTACCTCTGGAAAACAAGAGAACATCAATAAGTAAACATGGTTAAAGCTCGGATTATGATTGATGATGTTAAGTTGAAATCATCAATACATATAAGTTCTTTCAAAAGAAAAAATGAACAAAAAAATTTATTATTTGTTCCATATAAATAAAATACAAATAAATAAGAGAGCTTTAAAAAAATAAACACAAGGATGTGGCTTGGATTGAAATAAAAACCCTATTGAGAGTTAAAGAATATAATATCTTGGAATAGAATGGTTAGAAAATCAATTTAAATACATTCTAAAAACTAAGAAGATGAAAAACACTAGGAGAAGTCATTCTATATAGTATTTAGGAAGAAAAGAGAAGTTTAAGGTTGTGTAAAATATGAAAGAATCGAATTTACAAGTCACAAAATGAAGTCATGGAAGCAGGTGATAAAATAAGATTTTAGAAAAATTAAGGGTCTGTTTGGGGCAGTGATGTTTTGAAAACGCACCTGAACTGTTTGGGTAAACTATGTTTTGAAAACGCACCTGAACTGTTTAGGTAAACTGCGTTTTGACAGCTTATGTGTTTTGAAAACGCTGAAAGCAGTATTTTCACACCGCACCTATCTAGGTGTGGTGCCAGCTTTCAGGTAGCAGTCTGAATTTTCTAACAAAAATTAAAATTTCTAATAGTCACCGCACCTAGCTTATCAGCAGATTATTCAATAAGCTGCAGCTGCTCCAAACATACCCTAAATCAATACCAAATAATCAACTTGATTTTAAAAAGAAAGATTCATAAGGAGACATTTTTTATGCAAAGCTACTAATTGAAGATTATGCAAAACAACAAAACAATATCCACTTGCTTTATTGATCGTGAAAATATAAGTATATATAATAGAATATTACGAGAATTGAAGAGCATTAAGGAGATGTGTATATCAAAATTATAACAAAGTTATTAAATCTGCCATATACCCTTTAACTTTAAATGTAAAGTAAATGCGATCTCCATTTGTATTCACCGCCATCCTTTTATCTTATACTGAAACAAGAAATTTAATTATTATATTACAAAAAATATAAATAAAGGAATGAAGGGCACATATTGCATAATGGAGAAGACGTAGGCCTTCTAAACATTTGCTACAGGTCTTCAACCTATTCATGCATGATGGGGCACCGGCTTGTATTAATAGTTGTGTAGTGACAAAAGACTTCAATCAAATATTTGCATCTAATCATTTATCATTTTTTATTTGTTACAAAATTTCAATAAAAGATTCAAGATAAGATTTTTAGTTTACAGTACTTAAATATGTAAATTATACATGTGGGAATCTTTTGATTTAAAGTTGGATATTTTTTATAAAATAATTTTACTGCGAATTAAATTAGTTGTAAAAAGGGAGAAAGGCACATTTGGTATGTCTGTATGTAAGTCTTGTATTAATAGTTGTGTAGTGACAAAAGACTTCAATCAAATATTTGCATCAAATCATTTACCATTTTTTAAAGATAAGATTTTTAGTTTACAGTACTTGAATATGTAAATTGTACATGTGGGAATCTTTTGCTTTAAAGTTGGATAGTTTTTATAAAAAAGGAGAAAGGCACATTTGGTATGTATGTATGTATGCATGCATGCATGATGCATGCATGTATGTAATGTATGTATGTATGTATGTATGTGTGTGTGTGTATTATGTATGTAATGTATGTATGTCTGTCTGTATGTATGTGTGTGTGTGTATGTATGTATGTGTGTATGTGTGTATGTGTGTATGTGTGTATGTGTGTATGTGTGTATGTGTGTGTGTGTATGTGTGTATGTGTGTATGTATGTATGTATGTAAGTATGTCTGTGTGTCTGTGTGTATGTCTGTATTTATGTGTATGTGTGTGTGTATGTGTACGTCTGTGTGTGTGTGTTACGTCTGTGTGTGTGTGTGTACGTCTGTGTGTGTGTGTGTGTGTGTGTGCTGTGTGTATGTGTACGTCTGTGTGTGTGTGTGTGTGCGTTTGTGTGTGTGTGTGTGTCTGTGTGTGTGTGTGTGTATGTATGTATTAACATAACCTTAATGATTTTATATTCTAGATAACACGGATTTTATATTCTAGATAACACAGTTATTCAAAAAACAATGTTATCATACTTAAAAAATGAACTGTTATTTAAAAAAACCAATGGTGATTTAGATCTTTTTTTCCACTTTTGAAACTAACAAGATTGATGTATGTATGTATGTGTGTGTATATGTGTGTCTGTATGTATGTCTGTATGTATGTCTGTGTGTATGTGTGTGTGTGTATGTGTGTATGTGTCTATGTGTATGTCTGTGTGTATGTCTGTCTGTGTGTATGTCTGTGTGTATGTCTGTGTGTGTGTGTGTGTGTATTACTTGAGGATTTTATATTCTAGATAACACAGTTATTCAAAAATCAATGTTATCATACTTAAAAAATGAACTGTTATTTAGAAAAACCAATGGTGATTTAGATTTTTTTTTTCACTTTTGAAACTAACAAGATTGATGTAATCAATATAAAGTTCAATTCCGTCGCCATTTTGATAATTTTAAAATTGAGAACTAAAGTTGCTCATATTGCATCAAACCAAACAACATTTATCATAAATAACATAAAATTATATTAATTAAAATATTAACCAAACAACTACTCAAAACCAAAGAATTAGATACAATAAAGTTCTTCGGAAATACAGCAAGATAAAAAGAACAACATGAAGAATTAAAGATGCACTTTTTACATTCTAATTAGATCGAATATTTTTTAGATTGAAGCATTAGGCAAAAGAGAAATCACTTTCAATAATATGACAGAGAGAATGTCATGATAGAAAACTGTTAAATGTAGGAAGAAAAAAGTAAGAAATTATAATATTAGAAGGAACACTGAAAAAAATACAGATTACAAATAGGGGGTCTATAAATAGATTTGGGTGATTTGTTAAAAAGTGTAAAATATGAAGGGATGTGAATAAATAAGTAGAGCAAAAGAAAAGAATGTTATACGCTATACAAATAAATTTATATGAAATGTAAATAACATCGATTGTAAAATTCAACAGGAATAATTGGAAATCAAAGCGCCAACATCTAACAGTTGGAATATAGCTAATAAAGATGATTATTATGAATTTTACATGCAGTCAGTGAGAACGTTAAATCTCAGCTCTTCTGGTTACTTTCATTTGATGGTATAATGAAACAATACAGCAACAACAACAAGCATTTATTTCACTAAGTGGGGTTGGCTAATTGGATAATGTATGTAATATTAAAAATAAAAAAAAGAGCTTGATGAGTACGAGTATCTGTTGAAATGGTTCAATAAGATTGGCATTGCACGATAAAGAGATCAGTTTTCATCCATGTATTTGGGTCTTGAAATGTTTTCTACAAATTTCCAACATTTGACACGAATCTCGAAGCATAACACCGACATTGAGATAATTTTTTAAGCAAGAAACATTCAAGCTTCAATTAAGAGTCATCCAGAGTTCCGATTTCAGCAAAATTACAGTCAAATTGACCGGCTCAATGAGACAGACCCAATGATATCAAATTAGTTTAATCCGAGTTAAATCATGCTCGAAGTAAATCAATAAATCAAACTTGAAAGTTTTAAGGATATATTTAGAAGTCAAACGAATGACAAATCTAGCAAGCCTATAGTCGAATCGAGTGTCTCGACAGGACGAATCTAGCGAGCCCAAAATTGCTCAATTCTGACATCGTTAAGACAATCAAATGTCCATCAAATATCGTTCGGTCGAAGAAAGCTCTATTGACTGTCGATCAAGATGGTTCATACTTTTGTATTAATTGTAACCATAACATAATAGAACCCACCCCTCTCATGAAAGGGAGAAGATTTTAAGATATGAGGAAAAACTTGAAGTTTTGAGAAGGAATTGAAGTCCAACACTGCTCCTACCACCGTCGACCACCATTACCGTCGTCGACCATCATTGACCACAGTTGATTGTCATCGTTCATCATTGATCACCATTGACCAATGTTGATCGTCGTCGACCACCACCTGTCAGCCTTCACCGATCGCCATCAGCTGCCGCACACTTCTTACAAAGAGTTCATTCACACATCGACGTTATAATTCGAAAAAAAATGTAACATTTTCCGTCTGTGGGACAAGAGGTCTTCATAATCAACTTATAGTGAATTTTTACAGCTAGGTCAGACCTCATGACTTTTCCCTTTTACGGGTTTTCCATGTAAAAAATTCTGGTGTCACTACTGCTTGTTTTCTTTTATTTGGGTGTGTGTTGAATTCTCTTGCAATGCTAAGACGATAATTTATTATTCTGCCGTCGAAAAATTTCTAGAGCGCATCAGTTTAGCGTCGTCTGAGCATTCCCATCACTAAAATACTTGTAAGAATTATTTCATGACCATCAGACACAACACTCGCAACAGACAGAGCATCTAGCTCCAACAACCAACATTACTGAAAACAATCAAGGAGCTGAGATCATCAAGCCTCTGCATCCTCCTCTAGAATGCATTGCCCTGTTGAAGATGCAGAGCATCTAGCTCCAACAACGAACATTACTGAAGACAATCAAGGAGCTGAGATCATCAAGCCTCAGCATCCTCCTCTAGAATGCATTGCCCTGTTGAAGATGTCTTGGGTCATTATCTAGAAGATCGAGTACGTAAGATGGAAGAGTATCAACATAAGATCCTTCATCCCTTACACGAGGAACGACAACCATAGCCCAATGGAACTTACCATCAGTTCAACATTAAACAGGAAGTACCCACTCACCGGGTTTTTCTCCTAATAATGAAACCATTACTCTGTCGAGAGGAGATACCGATCTTCTCGACATTACAAGTTTCACTCAACTGTCTCATGCAACTCACCTAGCACCACCCCACCTTACTGTTACTTCTGTTGATATCATTCGAGAAGAGTTACGACGCCTGGTTCGGAAAGAATTCCCTCTGAATAAAAGGGATCGCTTCCATGCTCGTCGCAATATCAAAGAATTCTCTCCTTTGGCTGATGTCATTCTCCAAAACCCTATCCCAGTAGCTTTCAAACTCCCAAACATTGATTCTTATGAAGAGGTAACTCCCATACGAGCAAGTTGACCACTATCGAACAATCATCCACATTCACCATGCTCTTGATGTGCTTCTCTGTCAAGTGTTTCAGGTGACTCTCAAGGGTTAAGCTCACACATGGTTCTACTCTCTCCTGAGGGCACCTTCAACATCTTCAATGAGCTTGTCAGAATATTCGTAGAGCGGCTCATAACAAATAGAAGGATTATCAAAGATTCATCTCATTATTAGGGTTTTGCTATAATCTTCCGTAGGTTCTCCACTGAAGTTCGCCAGATTCCTGGAGTATATCCAGAGTTAATGAGATGAGTCTTTCTTGAAGGGTTCAGCTAGGACATTTATATTCATCATTGATGCGGGAGACAGTGTGTTCTTACGTTGATCTCATCCATCACGTCAGAGCTTAAATCTCTAGAACGAGACCATTATTGCACACAAGGAACAACTTGAGTGATTGGGGGGCAAGCGCAAAAATAACATCGGACATACTGATCAAATCTCACAGCGAAAAGATTCAGATCAAAAGAGAATCGTGAAGCCAAGATCAGAAAAAGAATACATGTCACGTGTCAATATTCTAATGGCCATCAAGAATGAAGAGGCTGGTAAGTGGTCAGGGCTGTTAAGAAATCCATATGGTAAAGACCAGTCTCAAAATTATCATTTCTACCGTGTAAAATGACATTCGATAAAAGATGTTTTCAATTAAAAAAAAATATTGAACTTCCGACATGCCAGATCACCTTGGTATCCACTTACAAGAACAAGGTGAGGGGAACAAGAAGAGAATCATTAGAGTTATCGAATAAGAAGTACATCACCAAATTATTATATTTGAGTAAATGACTGACTTATAAACTCCCAATTTTATTTTAGTGAAATTTTCATGTTAATTTAAACTGTAATTTCGGTGAAAATTTTAAATTTTCTCATGAAAAATTCTTGTGTAGAAAGTTCCCCTGAGGGCACGCGATAGACAAGACCATCATTCATGATGGAAGTCGAGCCCAGGAGACAAGACTCGATGAGAAACTACCACGCTCCTAGAAGTTGAGCCTGAGAGGCAAGGCTCGACGGGAAGATACAGTACTCCTGTAAATCAAGTCCAAGAGGCAAGACTCAGTGAGATGCTAAAATGTCACTGGAAGACTAGCCCAATAGTCAAGTCTCGATAGGAAGTTAGTAGTTGACAGAATCCTCACTAGAAAGACTCCACGAGAGCAAGTGGTTGACAGAGTCTCCACTCAAATATCTCAGAAAGCTACATGCCTCAAAAGACATAGGTACATCAAAAATTTTAGAAGACTATAAGCCGCAGAAACAACATATACATAAAAAACTCTCAGAAAACTGCAAGCCTTAGAAGGTACAGGCACATAAAAGACCTCAAAATACTATGAGCCTCAGAAGACACCGGTTCATTTCAAGCTCCTATAAGGCATAAGCCCAAGAGAGTGCAACCTCAGAATGCACGAGCAACAAAAAATACATGATTCTTCATTTTATAAAGTGTGTGTGCTAACTTTAATTGCAGAATTTCGTACGATTAAGAAATCACAACAACCTCAGAAGCAACGTTAAAGACGTATAAAAAAATATATTATCATCTAAAAAATATCACATCAGATGATTAAAAATGCTATAAATACTAACAAGAACTGGTACAAGAGCTATAAGTAATATCATCACTACAAGAGCATTAAAATCTCTCTTAAAGCGTGGCGGGAGAACTCTAGCATTTATTTATCTCCACTGAAATGCGCAACAAGTAAGAAGATCCCGAGTCACCTGATGGGCAGAGATGGAGATAACTTTCTTCATTTCACCGGCACGAAAGAAGATTTAATTGCTTCTCTGCTATACAGGATGATGATGATTTTATTATACTACAATGCAAAAGATACTGTTGCTCGTCTGTTATGTAGAAAGCGGACAACTTTCCTCTTCGCCTTGACGTAAAAGAATATCTCATTGCACGTCTGCTAAGCAAGACTGTGACGACTTTCTTTTTCTCCGCAACGTTAAATAAAATCTCGTTGCTTTCCTGTTATGTCAGACGAAGACGAATTTCCTCTTGGCCGCAACATGAAAGAAGATCTCGTTGCTCGCCTGCTACACAGGACAAGGACGACTTTTCTCTTAGCCGCAGCGTAAAATAAGATCTCGTTGCTCGTCTACTACGCAGTACAGACACGACTTTCCTCTTTGTCGCATCGTGAAAGAATATCCCATTGCTCGCCTACTACGCTGGACTTTCCTCTTGACCCCAACACTAAAGAAGATCACGCTGCTCGTCTGCTGCGCAGAATGAGAACGACTTCTTCTAGAAAATATCGCTAGTAGAAGGCTTCACCCTCCACCCTTCCTCTTTTTTTCTCCTTCTCCTTCTCCTCATTTGTGGTTATTCCCCTCATTCATGACCTCTATTTATAGGCTTAAGAGAGGGTCTAACATTAAGACAATTACTAAAATATAAATTAAAATCATCATCATTTTGTATTTCCAGCTTCTAGCCTTTGGCCTTCCAACTTATGCCTTATGACCTTCCGACATCCTCATTTCAAATAAAAAAAACTGAAAATCTTTTCATGTTCCCACATTTTAACTTTCTAAATTCTCTTAAGAAAATAATAATAAATGATAATTCAAATTAATTCTCTTATTCTTCGGGCTTCTAGCTTTTGACCTTCTGACTTCCGTCTTATGACCTTCCACCTTTCTCATTCCAAATTCAGAAAAAAAAAATTGTTTTCATTATTAAAAAAATCATTACAGTTATAGAAAAAAACACATTTGAATTTAATATTCATATTCTCACATTTCTTCTAGAATTTAATGGGTAGATAAATACAAATATTTCATATACACAAGCAGTTATCTATTTTTCATATTCTTGCCAGTCATAATTACAAAAAAAACGCATCAGGGAGAGCAACCAACATGTTGTGAATTATACGAAATTTGATGGGTTTTATTATGCAAACTTTTCAAATTTCTATATTTACTTTTTTTTCACAAAATCTGATAAATTCTCATATAAAATAAAATAAAATTTTTGTGAATGCAATCCAACTGAGTTGAGTTTGGTTTTCTAAAAATGCATAATGATATAAGAATCTTATATTCAAATAAACAGTAACATGTAATATTATAAAGACACACACACAATCACAAAAATTTGAGCTTGCGGGACTTTGGTATTTTCTACTGACGAAATTGGTCTCGCCCAAAAATAGAGGAAAACTAATACGCATCAATAAATTTTTAACATTTGACACGAATCTCAAAGCATGACACAGATCTTGAGACGATCTTTTAAGCAAGAAACATTCAAGCTTCAATTAAGAGTTATCCAAAGCTCTGATTTCAACAAAATTACAGTCAAACTTACCGATTCGATGAGACAGACCCAATGATAATAAATTAGTTCAATTCAAGTAAATCAAGCTCAGATCAATTTATTAAATTGCTCTTACAAAATTTTCGGACATAATTAAAAAGGTTAAACGAATGTTGAATCTAGCAAGCCTTTATTTGAATCAAACGTCTCGACAAGATGAATCCAACGAACCTAATATTACTCAATTATAACATTGTCAAGACACTCAAATGTTCATCAAATGTCGTCTTATCAAAGGAAGTTCTTCGAACTATCCGATCAAAGTGATTCATATGCTTGCATTAATTATACTCAGAACACTAATAATAAAGTTTCACCCCTCTCATGAGGGGGATATAGCTTGTGAACTGAGAAAAAACTTAAAGATTTGAGAATGAACGGAAGCCCAGCACTACTCCTGCTATCGTTGATTGTCGCTGACCGTCATTGACCTCTGCTGACCACATAGATCATCGTCGGTCGCCTTTGACCACCAACGACTGTCGTAAACCAACCCCTGTCGGCATCCACCGATTGTCATCAGTTGTCGTCACTTCTTACAACGAGTTAATTCACACGTCGATGTTGTAATTTAGAATATTTATTAACCACTTTAATGTTCGTGTGACAAAGTATCTTTATAATCAGCAATTTATAGTAAATTTTTACAACTGGGACAGACTCGATAGTTTTTTTTTTTCCTTTACGAGTTTTACATGTAAAAATTTATGGTGTCACTTTTGGTTGTTTTTTTTTACGTGAGTGTGTGTTGAATTCTCGTGCAACGCTAAGACGATAATATGTTAATTTGCCGCCATAAATTTTCTAGAACGCATCAGGTCTAAATCAAAATTATTCAGGCTATTATTCAGTTTGCATAAGGCAAAAAAGAAAATTAAAAACATTGCTACTTTATTATTAAAAAAAAAAACTGAGTTACCACTCCAAGCATGCTGAAAGAAAACTATGAAATGAAGCTTAGAAATTCAGCTTAGGAAGCTTCTATCAAGGGAGTTCAGAGAATTCAAGATATTTAAAATAAAGAAAAGGTAACCAGTTCACGGAATACTCCAATAAAACATCCAATTAAAAAAAAAAAAAATCATCAAACATTTAAATTTGAATGTCAAAATATGCATGAGAGGAAAAAAAACTAATAAAGCCATACCAACAACATCCTGTGAAGGAACCTTCCCATCATTCAACGTTGCTACAATTTTCTTAACCTCCTCCGTCGTTCCATTCTGCAAAATTCACAGGGAAAAGCAGGGCATGATTAAAATTTTCCTCTGTGAAATATTAATATGCAAATAACTCCACAGTACACGACCCAACACAAGACATTGAAAAACACCACCGATAACATGATCTAATGCACGGATAAGAATTAGGGTACATAGAATCGGTCCCAGATCCACCCAAAAAAAAAAATGGCATATACAATTTAAATTTCTTATCTAATGGTAAATTCGCTCAATCTTCCCAAAAAAAAGGGTAAAAATATGCAGATCGGGAAAATAACAGTTCACAGGGATGATTCAGCAATCGCATGCAGATAAAAAGTAAAACAAATCACCGATTAAAGTTGATGAACAACGGATCCCGGCGAACAAAAGGATAACAGATGTTAATGCACGCGACTGACTGAAAAAATAATGAGATGGACGATCTGAGTAAAAATAGATGCTAAAATGGATTAAATATGTTTAAATTGAGTAGGAGAAGAAGAGTTACGCATTTCCAGTTGCCGCCGACGAAGAATTTCCTGCCCATTGCTTTATGCTTAGAGGATTATGCGGCCGGCGGGACGACCCTTAAAACGTTTCTTTGGCTGAGAATGGAAGTACTCAAGATGGGGTTGTGATTTTATCGCGCCAGTGGTGCCCTCGGCATCGTAGTTTTACCATTATATCCTCAGCCATCGAACATGATTTTTTTTTCTGGCGATTTACATACATACCACCAAATCCTTATGTATTTACATATCTAACACCAAAACTATTTACATATCTAACACCAAAACTTTAATTTTTTCTAACACCAAAACTTTAATTTTTTTGCTTTCATATCCCCCTAAACTTTCATTCAAAATTTTCAGATTTGTATGCCAAAAATGTCTCTAAGAGGCCTGTGGATCCATGAGGAAATACTATGGGGAAGGCCGGCCCATTGTCAGAGAATGGGAGGCCCATTTGACCGACCTAACAAAGTTGCCCAAACCAAGCAAATCGATTGAACCATGAAACAGATGAAAACACGATCATATAATCTCTAGTAGGAACCACTCAGCGAGAATGGGAAAAAAAATGTATCTAAGTTAACCGCTACATAGGGCTGTCAAAACAACTCATTGTTCGGCTCGTTCGCTAAGTTAACGAGCCGACATGAACAACATATTTGTTCGTGTTCAACTCGTTTTTGCTCAAAATAATACTAATCAATTATATATATATATATATATACTACTCATCGATGAGTAGTATTTTTTAAAAATGTAATTGATTACAAGGCTACAAAGATTTATAATCAATTAAAAGTATTAATGAAGAAAATAGAATAAAATTATTAAATTAAATTCAAATGATGATTTAAATTTTGTTTTAATCCTTAACATTTTATGACTACATGATTAGGGTTGTCAAAACGGCTCTTTGTCCGTGAACGGCTCGTGTTAGCAAATGAGTAGAACAGGAACACCCTTTTTGAGCTCGAAATATAAATGAGACAAAGGATTGCTCGTGTTCAGCCCGTTTACACCCCTACCACTACATGAAATATGACCTGATGTGGTAGTCTACCTTCCAACAGGCTGACCTGAGAGAAAATCGAATTCCACAACACCTCAACCATCCAATGGATGCCCTAAGAGCTCCTCATCAAGGATCAAGGATCGAAAACCAAATTATACCCAGCCGCCCATACCAATTAAAGCCCAACCAACCGAGCTGATTCTCTCATTTTGAAGCCAAGTAAATTTTGATGTCTGAACTATGAAGTAACTGGAAGACAAGCTAATGCATGTAAAATATTAGAAATACTTAATACGTACCTCTTTTTAAAAAATAGGGGCAAAATATATCATATCATCATTATACCCCCTTTCTATAAATAGAAAAAATATTTATGAATAAGAGATGACTGATTAATACTCATTATCTCTCTTCATGTCTCTTTCTCGATCTATTCTTATTTACGCTCTATTCATTGGCTACGATTAACAAATAAATTAGGATTCAACATTTTAAAATATCCGGTGAGTGTGGATCATAGAACAAACTAGAGAAGTGTTCCGAGAAGAAGAAACTCATAATATAGACATTGAAAATAAGAACATGGAGTGCATCCGCGAATTCGTTGCCCAACAGATTCAAAAACTTAAGGGTTAGCTGCCACGAGTGAAGTGTTGGTGCTCGGTAGCAAAAGAGTCCCCCTAGGTTTGGAAAGAGAATGAGACTCCTAGTACTTCAATGGTGCTAAGTTGACATCAATTGACCTGAAACTCGCAGTCGCTCATGTCATCCTTGTTCAAGGGTTGAACGAGATTTGCATTGAACATGTAATGAATAAATATGCTGGTCGATTTGTTGAAATTGACCAATAACAACATATTGCTCCAGTAGTATAACTCCAACCCCATCTTCTCTGGAGTATAATTTCCACCCATTGCCCGCATAAAAGGGTTATCTAATGTGAAGGATGGAGACTGAGACGTTGATTTGCGACCTTTTGCTCGTCCTCTCCATGAATGTGCTTAATCACCCCAAGAGCATAGGATGACTGATAGAACATGTCACCTAGGGGGTCAAACCTGGTATTCTGATCAACACCCGACTCAATATGATAAGGGCCTACCATCAAACCATGAGTTCCCAAAATAACTTCGTTAAGAGTTTCAATGATCGAGACTGTGGAGACCAGAAAAAATGAAGGCTACTTTAAGAGATTGTCATCAATGAAGACCAAAGCTTACCTCTGAGATTCAAGAAAATATTGTGCCCACCATCAGGACTATGAGCAAAACATAGAGGAGAGCCTACACCTTTGAGGACTGATTAAATATCTAATTAAATCAAGTAAATTGAAGGAATTTTTGTCCCCATAAGCAATGAAATACCGACATGGAAGGTTCTGATGGTTGAAATATCAAATGAACTAGTTTAAGTTCAAAAAAAATCATATCTTTAGCATAGTTCCCACCATATTTGGAGAAGGTGTTAATTCATCCCATCGAAGTAGCCTGGAAATGCCTCAGTCGAAAGATCCATGTGCAACTGCCCCTATGGCTAAACAAAACTCACATCCTCCCACAACCTTCACCAGCAAAGACTTACCCCTAAGGGTAATCCTAGAACAACACTATTATTGTCATCATGCTGATCAGTAATCATCAAATTAGTAACACCATCACTGACACTACAACTCTGTGAATATCATGTTCAAGTAAGTGTTCAACAAAATAAGTCTCAAGAGCAAACAATTGACAATCATGGCTGACCCACTTTATGAATATTTTGGCAAAAAGAAAGAGGCACTGAGATCAAGCACTCTATTGGTTACATGGAGAGAAAAATACATACAACTCACTAAGAAGATAGACTTCATAGTTTTTGACTGACAGCCAACTTACAACGGTATATTCGGTCATTATCTACTCAATTCTTTCAAGGATGTCACTCATACCTAACAAGTAGTTGTGAGTTTCTCAAGCAACATGGAGGTGATCACTGCATGTAGTGATGAAGGGAAATCTCACACCAATAATCTCCAAGCTGTCAGAAGCATCAAATAAGAATCTCAAGAGCTCGACAACTCGAGAGAAGAGCGTAAAACCACCCTCCAGATTCCTAAAACTAAAAAAAGACATTAATAACCTTTTTATGTAAAGCTCTTGATGCAGGTCACAAAGATGTGCTGATCGAAACCCTCCAAAGCCACTGAGATGTCTTTGCCTAGTCTATCGCTGAGATGTCAGAGATATTGATCGACGTCACCTACCATCACCTGAACGCAAACCTAGTTGGCCGACTGATGAAACAGAAGATGAGGACCTCAACCTTCACCCTGGTCGAGCCAATTCAAGAGGAGATCCACAAACTATTGAAAGCTGGCTACGTTCAAGAGGTACAATACTTGATGTGGGTAAGTTTCATAGTGCAAAAATCAATTGATAAGTGGAGGATTTGTTGTGTGTTTCACCAATTTAAACATCACTTACCAAAAGAACAACTACCCGATGCCTTCAATCCACGCACTCGTGAACACCACGGTCTGTCGCTTCATAATGAGCTTTCTCGACGCCTTCTCTGGCTACCATCAGATCAAGAATAATTTAGTCATTGTTGAGAAGAGCATTCATCATAAACAATGGAATGCATTACAATATTGTAATTCCTTTTAGGCAAAAAAATGTTGGCGATACATATCGGTGCATGATGGATATATTTTTGCAAAACAAAAACAAAAAAAATATTGAATTGCATGTGAATGATATCTCAATGAAAAGTAAAACACTCGAATGACATATGAAAGACCAAAAAGATCCCTTCAAAACCTCATGAAAATTTAATATGAAATTTAATCCTCTCAAATGTATATTTCTAGTATCCACAACCAAATTCTTAGGCTATCTCATAAACATAGATGAAATAAAGGCTGAATCAGAAAAGGTTTGGGTGCTGATCAGCATACTGTCTCCATAGAACACCAACGTGGTCCAAAATTTGTTTGGTCAAATCGCAGGTCTAAGTCACTTCATCTCAAAATCAGACAATAAACACATTGTTTTCTTCAAAATGTTGAGGTAAGCGAAGAATTTCATATAATCAGGTGAATGTGAATAAGCATTTAAAAAACAAAAAATCTCTCTAGCATCAACACTACTCCTTTAAAGTTTAAAGCTGAGCGAATAATTCTCATTATTTTTGCATGCAGGCTTTGCTTGTACTTTCAAACGCATTGGGCTTGAATCATCATCAATCGTCTACTAAAATCAGTCCTCACCAAGCTAGAACACTCATTTTGATTTCTAAAATGGGTGATAAAACTCAGTGAATTTGATTTTTCTTGCGTTCTCTAAACTACCATCAAAGTTCATGTCGTAGTGTTTTTCTTGGTAAATTTTTTCAAGCGAAGCAAAATTGACGAAGAAACGACAATCGATAGCTCTACCCAAGTCCAGCATATCGTCGACGCAGCGTCTAGTCAAACCGGGGTGGGGCTCGTTCTCGCTCTAACAAATTTTATTGGAGCTTATATGTAGTAATTGATATAAGCGAGCTTTAAAGTTACCAACAATGAAGCCGAGTGTGAAGCTTTGATTGTCGGGTTACGGTTCACTTACAAGAAGGGCACACAACACATCCTAGTAAAATTTAACTCATACTTGGTAGTTAATCAGGTAAACATACGATTTAAAGTTGGGGATGAGATAATGACCAAAAGCCTCGACAAAGCTAAGTCGAAGATAAAGAAATCTGATGGCTTCAAGATTAAACACATTCCTGAACAGACAACCAGGTAGCAAAACTTCTATCCAAGTGCATCCTTTTGGGTGAGGGGAAACCCCGGAGGCCCGTACGACTGACCATGAAGGAAACTGTGGAGATGGAACTAAGAATCGAATGATCAACGAGTTGGGTGGATTCATACATCTTATTCCTTTATACTGTGAAAGTTTGGAAGAAGTAACCAACCTAAAGCACTTCAAGGTCAAAGTAACCAATATCTCATGATTGAGGGGAAACTTTTTCAAAGGTCGACCGCCACGTTGTACTTGATGTGCATAAAAAAAACAATACAGAAGACGCTTTTCATGAAGTATATTCAGAAGAATACGTAAGCCACTTCGGAAGAAAGAATTGACACACCACTATAACAACAAAGTATTTCTAGTTGGTATTGCAAAAAAAAGTTGAGGTATTCTCAAAGATGCGTGAACAATGTAAGAAGTTCACATCACCACAATATCAGTTGTTTCACAAATTATAGCACATTGTATGTTGACAATCGTTTGTCATTCGACGACTCGATATTCTCAGGTCCTTCACCTCATAATGGGGCCAGAGAAAGTTTATGCTCATTAGTGTAAATTACTTGTCTAAAGGGGTAGAGACTAAAACACTTGCTCGGATCAGTGTGGAAGCCCTTCAAAATTTCATCTAGACTAATATAATTTGTCAATATGTAGTATCATTCATTATTATGATAGACAACGGAACATAATTTATTTGTCATCCATATATCTAAAAATAATTCAACAATATGCATTTAAATTCCCCTATTCATTCGCAATAGCTTGTAATCATATGAACATATTGACGTTGACAGTGTCTTAATTCAATATTTAGTTTCTCATAGTCTAATAAGAGACATTATGAACCACAAGAACAAACATTTATTTTTTACTTAATAAATTTAATTTAAAAATTCAAGCATTTGTCTTGTATTCAAATGTCAACTAGATTTTCAACTCTTTAAAATGAAAGAAGCAGTATCATCGATATCTTATTTCATTTTTTTAATTTAAAATGACTATTTTTACACATCCTTTATATATTTTATGACGAATTTATTATAATAAAATTTTTGTAATATTTTTAGAGTTGGTGCCAGAAAAAAAAAAGAGGGCATTTACATACATACCACCCAATTCCTATATAACATTTATGCATCTACACCTAAACTTTATTTTTTACATATATACCACCGAAAGCATTCATATCAAATAAAAATATCATTATTTGAATATATAGATAATGAAACATATTTGTAAAACTTAAAATTTAGATTATAGATATGTAAATAAATAAAATTTAAGTGATATGTATGTAAACATATATATTAAAAAAATAAATATTTAAGAAAAAAAGGGTGTCAGCCCACCGGTGTACGACACGTGAACTTACCGGAGCTCGGCGACAGTTTCGCCTTCCTGACGATTTAACTTGAACCCCAAGTCATCATCACATCCTTTAATTACCGAAGAGCCATTAATGCTTTCCTTTCTTACTCCTCTATCATCCATATTTAAAATAACCTTTTATATAATCTTGTTTTATAAAATTAAATACATATTTAAATTAGCATATAATATCCGCATATAATATCCTTTTTAATTTTAAATAAACCCCTAAGTTTAAGAATATTTTTTCCAATTAACCAATTTGTTGCAAATATTCACAATATGTAAAATGATTTCTCTTTTTTTAAAAAAAAGTTAGTTCATCATGAAATTTCCTTATAATAAATTCATAATTATTTAAATTTGATCTATTTGGTCAATTAAATAAATATTGAAAATAGAAATCAGACGGCTATTGTCAGCCCAACGCCGCTCCTTACCTGCCCATCTCCCGGTCACGGATTTCTCACCACAAATTAAAAAAAAAAAAACTAATAATAATGATAAATTCAGTGATTGTAACGTGGCCTTCCTGTGTGTACAAGATGCGTTATGAACGGTCATGATCAGATAATTTCAAAAAAGTTTTATATCCTTTTCAAGCGTTAATGCAGGGACCAAGTGGACCCCACCAGAGAGAGAGAGATATCTAGACGGTCAGGGGTATTTACGTCATTTACGAAGTGGAATGGCGTCTATATATACTGCGACGGTTCCCAGTCTTCATCCTGTAGTACATTTTTGCAGCAGTTCGGTTCAGCCTGTATCCGATTTCGATTCCGGGCGTTCAACGAGGCGGGAACGTCTTGTTTATCGAAGCAGTGTAGGGTTTCGAAATCTTGAATTCATTTATTTAATTTTTTTGTTTCGATTTCTTTGATTTGAGTTCATTCTTTTTTTCTTGAATTTGATTCGTTTAGTTTGATGTATTGGGTTTTTGATGGAGAAGTCAGGTTGACCGGGAAATTAAGACTATCTAATGCTTTTAGGGGAGGAGCGTGACGCTCAGGCGAGAAACGCGCGGTCGTTGATATCTTTTTCCAGGAGCCGTCCCATAAAGCTTGGTTCATGGAGGCTGGATCGGAGGAGCATCGGCGAAGTTCGGAGTGGAGATGGGGATGGCGATTGCCGGGTCTGTGCGGCAGCAGGGGACTTTTTGGCGAGGTTCGTTGAGAGGGAGGGAGGCGAGTTCGTGGGACAGATTGGGGGTTTTAGCCACGAGAGTGAACACGACCTGGCGATGATGGTTAGCGATTTCTTAGAGGATTGGAGTGGTGGTGCGGAGTCGCGGTATAACAATGACAGTGACTCTGGGTTTCCAGATCCTAAACTTCTGGCGGAGAATGTTCGGGCGAGCTTTCATTCCGCAAATAGGATTTCCCTTTTGTTTATCTTCTGTATTTTGCTAGTCGCTATCTGAATTTTTGATTAATTTTAGTTTCAATTGCTTGCTTAATGTTAGTTATATTTAGAAGTTAAAAAATGAATATAAGCTCTATCAATTCCTTAAAAAAAAATAATGAACTATGTTCATAAAGAGTGGAAATGAAATATTTTTCTATCTACATGCAATCAATAATGCCCTGATAAAATTTATTCTCATTTGTCTATAAGCCCTGTTACTCCCTGCCCTCCTGCACCATTGATTTTAAGTTGTTTACTTGCAATTAGGCAATACCGGCAATACTGCAGAGGCGTTTTTATACTATTAGAATTTAACATCCTTGCTCAGAATTTATATTGATTGATAGTCTTGCAACATCTGGACAATTGTACGATCATTCATAAGGTTTAGAAAATGGTTGATCGGGTTAGTTTGATCGTAAGTTTGTTGAAATTTAAACTCTATATGACTTTTAGTCGAAGTTTAAATGTTTCTTGCATAAAAGAAATCACCCTGAGGTCTATATCATGTCTCTAGATTCATGTCGGGTGTTGGAAATTTGTTGACGGCATACTAACACTATACTCATTATATGTCAAAAAATAAGTTATTTGTGCAAAGAGCATAATCATCACTAATTTTTTATGGTTTGTCATAGTTATCATAATGATCTATTGGATTGATGCAACCTGCAGCTTGCAAGGTTTATTAATCTATTAGCTACTACCAATTTCTTTAGTCACTGTTTCTGAAAAAATTGCTTAATTAATATCTCACAAAATGCAAAAACTATAAAAATGTTTGTGCAGTACCTTATGATATAATCATTTTATTCTTCGGTCAATTTGTAGTAGTTATATGTTCAATTGTTTTCATTTATTCTTTTGATCTTTCGGTTTATGTATTCGAGATAATTTATTTTATAAAATGTCATTATATTTCTGTTTGGCAATAATTTTTTCTTGTTTTCTTAGTTTGCTTTTTTTTTTTTTTTTTTTTTTGGATGAGAAGAGTTTTCCACAGTTAGATTTGTTAGTGAAGCACAGCTGCATCGATGTCCTGTAATTACACATTCTTAAGGAGATTTAGTTATGTTTTGTCACATCCTTCCTATCCTTAGAAGTATTTTTGTGAAAGACGATGCAGAAAACAAAATCACACAGCAAACAAAACAATCAAATACGGTGTGATTTATATTCTGTCTACGTCCGTGGGAGGGGTTATTCGACTGTCAGCAGGTGGGCGAGAGGAAAAAAATGGCCGAAGTAGGGTTATAACAAAACAATAAAATACGGTGTGATTTATATTCTGTCTACGTCCATGGGAGGGGTTATTCAACTGTCAGCAAGTGGGGCGAGAGGAAAAAAATGGCCGAAGTAGGGTTATAACTCAAGCCTTAATCCTTTTTATAAGTAAGAGAGTGGATTGTGAAATACAAATTAGAAATATTTTTAATATAGAAAAGATTTTAAAATGAGATCTCTAATAGGTTACTTAATATCATGTTTTGTAATATAAAAAAGATCATGTAATTAAATATCCTCTAATTAAATTATTTCATATCAATTTTTCTAATATTAATATTTTCTTATATACAATCATTAAATTTAATAATTTCGTAACAAGGAGCAGACTAATGCTTAACAAAGAAGAATGAATCAAGCCTTTATCAGCTTTTCTGTTAGTCTAATCTAACCTACAGAACCTATAATATCCTTGTGTATTCATAGAACGGGATGGTACTTTTTTAGCTAATTAAATTTCTTCTTTTCTCAATTATTATCTTCTCAATGGATTTTATTTGTTACGCAGTTCCTTAAAAATTCTGTCGAACAGAATGTGACTGCACTGTCATCATCTGTGCAGTCTCGTTTGCTTTCAATAAATGATTCCGACTTGTTTTCCTGCACTGGTGGCCAATGCAATGGCGGCTGTATCAGGCATTCTCTTGTGAAGCTTCTCCGGCTTTCTGGGTTTGATGCTGCTGTTTGTCAATCCAAATGGCAACATTTTGGCAAAGTCCCAGGAGGTATTTTCTATACAGATATCAAACACAAAGCCTTTATTTACTTCTTCTCATTTTGCTTTTTAAATGCATTTTAGGTGATCACGAGTACATTGATGTATTTCTTAGTAGTAAATCTGGCATTTCGGATAGAGTTATCATAGATATTGATTTTCGAAGCCACTTTGAAATAGCCAGAGCAGTTAAATCTTATGATATAATCCTGAATTCCCTGCCCGTCATGTACGTTGGCTCCATGTCCAAGCTGAAGAAATTTCTTCAAATTATGGTCGACGCTGCAAAATTTTCTCTTAATCAGAACTCCATGCCGCTGCCTCCATGGAGGTCACTTCCATATTTGCAGGCGAAGTGGCAATCAGAATATGAAAGGAAATCTTTCTCAGATGGGCAGAGCAACACTCTATTTGATCCCTCTGATCATAAACAGTGCATTGGTCATCTGAGGAGGCTTAAATCATCCCTTCAGTCGGAGATCGCTGGAGAGAGGCTTCTGAAACCCATCACTAATGACAAGAAGAGGACGGAGAAGTTTGAGCGGCAACAATCTATTCTTAGTGGCTAATAATGAAGCAGTCTTGAGTTCAGTCAGCCATTTTCCAGCTCTTTCTGGAATAAATAATAAGGTAGAGGATCAATAAACTGCCAAATTTTTTTTCGCGGCAGCAGTGCGGTTCAAATCGGTTTGCATTTGCATTACTCGATTTTTGCTGATTTGCGTTGACAGAAAATTTATAGATTATATAGAGAATATAATATGTTTTCATTTTTTTTCTACTTTTTTGCTTGGCATGTATTACCCAAGGCAGTGGGAACTAAGAAGAGTTCCCCCGTGCAAAGCAGAGAAAATTTGATAATTTTTATGTTAATGAAGATTAAATTTGTGGATTCTATTTTTAACTAATCAGTCGTTATGAAAGTAATTATTTTAATGCTAATATTTCCTAGCCCTCGTCCTGGTGGGAACTCATGGGCTTGTCTCTGATATTATACTTTTATGCTGCTTCTACCGTTGGTTAATTTTGACAGGTCTTTTACAGCTTTATTGGGATTATTTTGAATTTTGAAGCTCTTTTACACTTTGATTGCAATGATTTTGGTCTGATATTTTGGTACTTTACAGCTTTGATACAACTATCAGAATAAGAGGAAATGGTCTGAGGTGTGCAGTTACTCAACTAATGAGCTAAATTTGTTAGTCTCAACCCACATTAGAAAATACGAATATAAATTACACTTTGAATTCAATAAAATTTAAGGTCTTGAATACACATTTATTTAATTATTTAAATAATATATTATTTCTGTTTAGACTAAATATATATTTTTTTAATTTTCTTATATATGTTGATTATAACTTGATTACTACAATCATTTGAATTATTACTATTATTAAATTTTTTTGGGTATGGTGATCTCTTGAATCGGGATATTGGGATTCTTCCCTTTATTTTCAACCGGTTAGAGCACATGATTTTAATCAAATTCATCTTCTTTTCTTTTTGAATAATTAATAAGCTCTCTTGAGCTTTTTTGACTTGGTAGAATTTTGAGTTGTGCTCCATTTGGAAGTTGAATTTAATTAATTATTCAAGGTCAAATTGGGCTGGCTGCAGATTTATGCCCCTTTTTTCCAACAGATTTTGACTTATGTTTCTGCGTTAAATTTTGATTGTAATACTTTTTCAATAATAATAAAAAAATGAATTAAAGATGAAACCCGAGGAATGAGTATGGATGCTACCAATATGAAGGCTTTTAGGTATATGGGATTCATTAAGATTTACATTTTTGTTGTTCCCATCAGTCAGGCCTCGGTGGACTCTCGTGGTGGCTCGAGTTCCAAAAGTACAATCTCCACCATTCTTGAAGCAATAGAAAATTTCTCTTCCAAGAGTAATCAAAATAATAAAAACAATAAATTCGTAATTGATCTAAATTCTTCTCCGATTGAACCAAAATTATCATCAGCTACGTATACCCTCCACGAAAAATTTTCTCAATTGATAAATGATTATCCCTCTCTTTTTGTTGTAACTCTGTTTGTATCCACATTCAATCCGTATAAAAACAACCCTCTCTTTTTGTTGTAACATTGTTTGTATCCACATTCAATCCGTATAAAAACAACCTCGTTATAGCTAGCATATATAATATACGGCCGCTCTCTCTCTCTCTTATGCTTTATCCAAATTAAATTTTCATTCAATTGTCAATTGAAACTATATGTTGGAATGAAATTCACATAACATAACTCCGAAAAAAAATTAGAAAACCCGTCAAAATGAAACTACTCGTCAACAATCTTCCAAATCAAATTCTAACTGAAGAAACTGAAAAACATGATGTTGAGAAATTAGGGCGAAAAAAAAAAAGGAATCGACACAAAACCAGAAAAACACCCAGAGATTTACGAGGTTCGACAAAGATGCTTACGTCTTCGGGAGCAGATCGGCGACTTTCTTTTTAATATTCAGAAAATATTACATAATATAAGATTCAAAATCTCAGAGTCTTGGAAACTCACTTAGGGTTACAAACATGACATATATATAACTCTATAGTACAATATGTAATCACTTAAATTACCCCTGTACCAAATGGCGGGGTGTTGCCCCCGCACCCCAACCCACATAATGAAACTCCTCCGATTGGACAAATCATTCTGATCCACTCCGCTCGTGGGCTCTGCTACGCTCCAGCATCTGTCCCATTTATGTTATATGAGTCATACATAACAATTCTCCACATTGGCGAATATCCAGCCCCTTTGGAGAAATACATCATGGAGTTTCTTACATACCAGATGTGGGTTGGGCCATCATGCTTCTCTAGCAACTGCAATCATTTAACAAGTCCAAGCAATGCAAGAACTTGTTGATAGTAACTGGCTTGGTCAACATATCAACTACAATTTCATCAGTATGAACATTCTGCAACAGTATCTCACCAGAAGCAATCAATTCTCTGATCTTGTGATACCTGAAATCAATATGCTTGGTTCTCGCATGGTAGACCTAGTTCTTAGGCAGATAAATATATTATGACTGTCACAATGCAACTGAACTCTACCTTGCTCAATGTCTAGTTCCTCTACTAGCCCAGTAAGCCATAAGACTTCTTTTGTAGCTTTAGCTACTGCAATGTACTCAGCTTCAGTTGTAGATAATGTCGCAATAGACTGAATTGTTGATTTCCAACATATAGGCCCTCCATCAAGAGTAAACACATACCCAATTGTAGACCTTCTACCATCCAAACCATCAGCATAGTCAGAATCAACGTACCCTACACCTGAAGGATCTTCCTGCGGACTGCCAAAAATAATTCTATGTCCTATAGTACCCTTCAGATACCTGAAAATCCATTTGACTGTTTCCCAATGTCGTCTTCTTGGTTTAGACATGTATTTGCAGACTTGACTAACAACATGAGTCAAATCAGGACGAGTACATATCATTGTATACATCAAGCAGCCAACTGCACCGGCATATGGAACCTTTGCCATGTCTTCGATTTTTGTATCTGTCTTAGGACACTGTTCTGAATAAAGCTTAAAATGATTTGCTAATTGAGTGCTCACAGGCTTTGCTTTGCTCCCCTTAAACATTTCCAGCACTTTCTCAACATAGCCTCGTTAAGATAAATATAATCGTCTTAAGCCTCTATCTTGATGAATCTCCATTCCAAGAATCTTCTTCGTAGGACTCAAGTCTTTCATGTCAAATTCCTGGCTCAATAAAGCTTTCAAACCACAGACATCATTCATATTCTTTGCAACAATCAATATATCATCAATATACAATAACAAAAAAATAATAGAACGATCATCAAGGCTCTTCACATAAACACAACAATCATACTCACATCTCTTATAGTCAAACTGCTTGTACCATTGTCTTGGAGCTGTTTCAACCCATACAACGATTTCTTTAATCTGCAAACCAGATACTCCTGTCCAAGTTGAGTGAACCCTTCTGGTTGTTCCATGTAAATCTATTCCTCCAAATCACCATGCAAGAAAATAGTTTTAACATCCATATGCTCTAAATGCAAATCTCAAATAACTACCAATGCAAGCACTACTCTGATTGAAGTATGTTTGAGTACAGGAGAAAAGATTTCATCATAATCTATCCTTTTCTGCTGTGAAAATTCTTTGCTACCAATCGAGCCTTGAACTTTTCCCCTTCTTTTTTTGATACTGCTGGTTTCCTTTTATACACCCACTTGCACCCAATAGCCTTCTTTCCCTCATGAAGCTGAACTAGCTTCCATGTATAATTTTTCTGCAGAGACTCCATCAATTTCTCTTTCTCCTGGCTAGTGATAGCTCCTTGAAAAGTGACTGGATCATCGCTGTTGATGAGAAGTACACAAGAGACCAATTCTTCATTTCTTCATAAGATGAGAAGTACACAAGAGACCAATTCTTCATAACCCAATCTACTAGGAGACTTTATATTGGTGCGTCTCTGTCTGTCTCTGACTTGATTATAATTTTGCAAATCATCTGGAATGAAATCACCATATGTTTGATTTGAACCTTCAACTCTATTAGTTGTTTCCGGATGTTGTTCTAAATCCATCTGCACTGCATGTGAACTGGAACTGTTCCCTGATTCCTTGTCTTGTTTTTGCTGCAACATGAATTTTCATCAAAAACTGCATCTCGGTTGATCATCATTTTCTTTACAATTGGATCTCAAAACTTGTATCCTTTCACACCTTTCGTGTATCCTAGAAAGATGCACTTCTTGGATTTTGCATCAAATTTTGATATTTATCTCCTGGTACATGCACATAAGCAAGACAACCAAAAATCTGTAAATGATCGAAATTAACTGGATTATCTGTCTATACCTCTTCTGCAACCTTGTCACCCAACGATATCCGAGGTGATCTATTAATGAGCTAACATGTCATATTCACAACCTCTGCCCATAAACTCTTAGGAGGTCCTACATTCAGTCTCAAGCATCTTGCCCTTTTAGTTAAGAACATGTTCATCCTTTCTGCCACACCATTCTGCTGTGGTGTCTTGCACACTGAAAAATGCCTCTGAATCTCATGCTCCTCACAAAACTCCTGAAACTGCGAATCTGTGTACTCTGTGTCATTATCAGATCTCAAATACTTGATCTTTTTGTCAGTTTGGTTCTCCACCTCAGCTTTTCACGGCTTGAATTTAGAGAAGACTTCAGATTTCTACTTCAAGAAATACACCTGAACTTTCCTGGAGAAATCATCAATAAATGTAACAAAATACTGAGATCCTACCAATGACGATTTCCTAGCAGGGCCCCATACATAATAATGCACATAATCAAGAATCACTTCAATTTTATGTTTTCCAGTCATAAAACTGACTCTAGTCTGTTTTTCAAGAACAAAAAACTTACAAAGATCGAGCTTGCAGCTTTTAACACCATGCAACAGATTTCTTTTATGCAATTATGTCATCCCACGTTCAGTAAGATGACCCAGACGCATATGACATAGCTTTGTACTATCATCATCTGACTCCACAGAATGAACTCCACATACAATTGTGCCCGCCAACTTTGTAGATATTACCTGCAGTTAACTTTCCTTTCATCACCGTCAATGCACCATGTCGGCACTATTTTTGGTGTGGGGTTTGCCCGTAAGAAGCTGTCGGTCATCGGAATTGAAATCCCGTTGCCCGCTTTGGAAGGACATTTTTTTTTAAAAAAAAATTTAGTTTTGAAAATGATGAAGTCAAACTGACCCCATAATTTTCATAGTTTAGATGAAAGAGCGCTTTACCTCAAATC